GTCTGCTCTTCATCCTCCTCTTCCTCCTCCTCCTCCTCCTCCTCCTCCTCCTCGGGGGCAGTGCCCGGGCCCCGCCCCGTGCCCGCGGGGATGGTGGTGGCCGAGCCCGAGGACGACCCCCCGATCAGTAAGTGACACTTCTTGGGGACCCCCCTCTGGCTGCACCCCCACTTTCTTCTTCCTGTGCCTTTCACTGGGGGTGGGACCCCAAATTTTTGAGGGAGGGCACATTTGGGTGGGGGGGTCACAGCTGGGTGGGGGATCACAGTGGAGGGGGGGTGTCACAATTTGGGGGAGCCACAGCGGGGCATTTTTTGGGGGTGCAGGTGCCACCTCCCTATATTTGACCCCCCCCCCCCCCTTTTTTACACCCCCCCCCAAATTTTTCCCCCCCCCCCCCCCCCCCCAGTTTATTTCCGGGCACTGGTGAACTTCACCCGCAGCATCGACTTCAGCTCCCGGCTGGAGGACCCGGATTCCGAGGAATTCCGGGAGATTTCGGAGGCTGTGGTGGACACGGTGAGGACAGGGGGGGGCTGAGGGGGGGGATGGGGGTGAGTGGTCCCCAAGGGACCACCCTGACCCCCCCCTTTGTGCCCCCAACAGCTGGAGTCGGAGTATTACAAGGTGCCTGGGGAGCAGGTGGTCAGTGTGGTCTTCATCAAGTGAGTGGGGGGGCTTTGGGGGGCTCGGAGGGTTTAGGGGGAGTGGGGGGATTGGAGAGGCTGGGGGGGGTTGGGAGGAGCAAAGGGAGCTGGGGAGGTTTGGGGTGCAGGGGGAAGTGGGAGGATTGGGGGTGATGGGGTGTTTGGGGATGAGGGGTTTTTGGGGAATGGGGGTGGGTTGTGTTGAGTGTTGAGGGGTGAGGGGGGGTCAGGGGAGATTTGGGGGTACAGGGGGAATTGGGAGCATGGGAAGGGTTGGAGGTGATGGAGTGTTTGAGGGGTCGGGAGGTTTTGGGGAGCTCAGGGCATTTGGGGGGGGTCAGGGGGGTTTTGGGGGAGTTGGGGGTTGGGGAGAGTAAGGGGGGTTGAGGAGATTTGGGGTGAGGGAGGATGGGGAGGGTTGGGAGTGATGGAGTGTTTGAGGGGTCAGGAGGTTTTGGAGGGGCTGGAGGGGACTGGGAGAGCAAAGAGGGGCTGGGGGGATTTGGGGGGGCAGGGGGAACTGGGAGGGTGGGGAACAAGGGGGTGTTTTGGGGGTCAGGGGGTTTGGGAGATTCAGAGTTTTGGAGGAGTAAGGGATTTTGGGGGGTCAAGGGGGTGTGGGGAAGCTCAGAGGCTGTGGGGAGGTTTAGGAGTGATGGGGATGTTTTGGGGGTGCAGGGGAGTGTGGGGATGAGGGGATTTGGGGAACAAGGGGGCTCAAAGGGGATGGGAAGGTTTGAGGATGAAGGGGAAGTTTGGGGGTGATGGAGAAGGTTTGGGGTGCAGTGAAGGTTTGGAGGTCAAGGAGTTGGGAGGTTTGAGGTGTTGGGAATGTTTTGGGGTGCAATGAGGAGGGTTTG